GGAGAGCTTTTTGATCGGATTGTGGCGAGAGGACATTACACGGAGCGAGCAGCTGCGGCTGTTATGAGAACAATCGTTGAGGTTGTGCAACTGTGTCACAAGCATGGGGTAATCCATAGAGACTTGAAACCTGAGAATTTCTTGTTTGCCAACAAGAAGGAGAATTCCCCTCTCAAGGCAATCGATTTTGGATTATCGATATTCTTCAAGCCAGGTTAGAATTTTGATTGGAATGTAGCATGTTACAATATAACTTCGAAGCTCTATATTTGCAAAAACTAGCGACTCCTGGATTGGTATGATTGCAATTTTTCAAGTCGTTCTGCTCTCTGCGTTTTTTACAATTGAATTAATTGGTCACAGAATTGAGCTAAAAATAATCACTTCTAGTCGAAATTTGTTCTGCCATATTTACCAGGACCTCATCTAGAGTTGTTTGTATGTGTCAAATTTTGATTTCTTGGCCCCACTTGATAGCAAGAGATTTAAAATGCGGTTCAACAGCTGTCATTTCATCAGATCCTGGAATTGTTTTTCTGGCCATGAATGAATAAAAATTTGGAGCTTATCTTTCGACAGATAAGGACATGATCTTCTTGACCATCCTGTGCTACGAAGTTTCACATGTTTCGCTAAAAGTCTTACGTAGTTCAATGAGCTCTAAGCTGTATAAATACATTATGGCTGTTTACCTGCCGTCTGATGGACGTTATGAACTTATATACTATACATACCGGTTAGTAATCCCGTATTGTAGGTGGGGAGAGCTATGAGAAAAGGTCAACTTTACAGCTCTTTGTTCAGAATTTATGGAAAAATATGATGTATTTTGAATCTTATGTACTTGATCTATACGTGCACATAATTTTTACTTTTACTTTCAATACTATTGACCTTTTCTTCATTCTCTGGGGATGGATGTAATCTGACTAATTTTTACCAAAATTATAGGCGAAAAGTTCTCAGAAATTGTGGGAAGTCCATATTACATGGCGCCAGAGGTTTTGAAGCGAAATTATGGACCAGAAATAGACATATGGAGTGCAGGGGTTATTTTATACATCTTGTTGTGCGGAGTTCCTCCCTTTTGGGCTGGTAATAATTAATTACATAGTGTCCCATGTACGGATATACTAAAATTATTCACAATAATGTCTGATTACTTGGCTTTCATGTTCCAAGGTATAATGTTTATAGCTAAATAAAACAGAGTGCTGTGTTGACTTGAGTGTACATTTTACATAGAGACTGAACAAGGGGTGGCTCAAGCTATTCTCCGTGGACTGATAGATTTCAAACGCGATCCATGGCCCAGTATCTCAGAGACTGCTAAAAGTCTTGTCAAGCAAATGTTGGAGCCAGATCCAAAGCTTCGCTTGACTGCAAAGCAAGTTCTTGGTAATTTACATATTCTGACTTCTGTCGCATTAAGTGGCAATAGGAATTTTCTTGTTAATATGACTATATTGTTGAAAACTGTTATGATTCACTTAAAGATGATGAGAAACTCATCTTTTACTGATGTATTTACGTATTCTAGTTATAACTCCATGTGTAATAATTAGATAGGTGATTCATTGAAAATTCCATTAGTTGCTTCATTTCTGGTTTATCTGCATACAGATCATCCTTGGCTCCAAAATATCAAAAAAGCTCCAAATGTTCCACTTGGCGATGTTGTCAAATCAAGGCTCAAGCAGTTTTCCATGATGAACAGATTTAAAAGAAAGGCTCTACGGGTTGGTTAAATGCCTTCAAAGATTGTTTTGCTTTTTGATTAATGTATCTGTAACATAATTCAATGGACTCCTTAACAGGTAATTGCTGATTTTTTATCCACCGAAGAAGTCGAAGATATCAAAGAAATGTTCAAGAAGATTGACACTGATAATGATGGTATTGTTAATATTGAAGAACTGAAGGCTGGCGTTCACAACTTAAGCTCTCAACTTGCCGAGTCTGAAATTCAGATGTTAATAGAAGCTGTGAGTCTATACTTGTTTAGCATGTCCATTTTTGTGCTCTAGTTTAATAAGCCCCTAATCGAGTTTAAAGTTTCTTTCCTCCATAATTTTGGGAGTATGAGATCACATTGAGATAACGTTGTACTGAAATTTACTATTGTAGGCATACCTGTATCAATGTCTTTTCACATCTTTGAGAGCACTTTTCCAAAGAATATCCAGTGTTCATAGTGTCACAAATTTCTGTCTGTGTGTGCAGCATGGAAACATGTGTAGAAAGACAAATACCTCTTTTTTAACACATAAAAATCTACCATGGGAATGCAACTTGATGAAGAATTATAATCTTGCTTAATAGATTTTTCTATTCCACACTTTGAATGATTTGATGCTGCTTGGCAACAGGTTGATAACAATGGGAAAGGCACTTTGGACTATGGAGAATTTGTTGCAGTGTCTCTTCATCTACAGAAAATGGCAAATGATGAGCACCTTAGGAAGGCGTTTTCCTACTTCGATAAGGATGGAAACGGTTACATCGAGCCAGATGAACTTCGTGATGCTTTAGTAGAAGATGGAGCAGATGATTGTACAGATGTTGCAAATGACATCTTTCAGGAAGTGGATACAAACAAGGTGAAGAAGATTGATCTGGTTCCTTTATTTACCTATTTATTATTTTTTGACTCTGTAAATTTAAAATATCTATCCAACTGATATCGAAGTCAATAAAATGCAGGACGGGCTTATAAGTTACGATGAATTCGTGGCAATGATGAAAACAGGAACAGATTGGAGGAAGGCTTCTCGGCATTACTCGAGAGGGAGATTTAACAGTCTCAGCATCAAGCTGATGAAAGATGGATCACTAAACTTGGGGAGTGAATAATACAACAATCCCTTGGAGTGGAGAGTTTGCATTTGGTTTCTTCACATAGAGAAGCACTGTAACATTGGGCTTACATCTGAAGTTGCTTTCTTTTGTGATTATTTGTTGGGTGCCCGGCCCCTTCGATTAGGACGTGGCGGCCCAGTAGCGCCATTGAAGGCCCAGTATGTCTCTAATTGGCCCCACCGAAAATGTTATGTAAAATGTGATGCCATGTAGTTAACAGTACAGGCTTGTATGATACACTTACACTACTTTTCTAATGCTCTCGGTTTAACATCCACTTGATTTATTTCTCCAGACTTCAAGTCGGAGCTGAAAGCCTGTTCTTCCTTTCTCTAAGCATTTATTGGGCCTCTTAGGTGGGCCCTCTCTCTCCTTCATTAGACAGTAATTAATGTTTTGGGCTAGGGCCTATTAAGGCCCAATAGACTCTAGCTCCGACTTTGTTGCGCCACTTGCTACCTTTACTTTACTCTTCATTTAATGGGTTACTGATTATATAATGACATTCACGTGAACTAGTGAAATTATATAGGAAATACAATTTTTATATTTTATAAATGACTTTTTTTTTTTACAGAATATTTCACATGATTTTAAAGGCATATAATTTACAAAATCGTCTACATTTACTACGTAGCATTATTATTTTTAATAAAGTTAAGTACTGTAACATAATCTATTAAAGTTAAAAAATTAATAACATGAATTAATGAGTACAACATCAAGTGACTTAATTCTTTTAAAGTCTTAAAAAAAATAGTAGCTTCAATTAAATAGAAGGATCTAAGTTGCAATTAAAATCATTACTATATTTATTTATTTATCTATTGTAAGGTGAGTGGGCTAAAGAAGATCTATCAGATTCTTGTAGTTGTCATGTAAAGAGGATTTTCTTCGAAGCCCAACTGAAAATTTTTTGGACGCTATTTGTGCCACGCTTTATTTATTTATTTATTATTTTTAAAGTTAGAAGAAGATATGGTGAAGAATTTATTTATCTATTAATATTAAATAATCTTTAATTAATGTGAATAATTGAAAAGATTATAAATATAGCAATAATGATAATACATCTATTTGTATAGTGAAGTTATTAAGCTGTACAGAAAAGGCCCAAAGCCAATCCCAGAGAATAGTGAAGCTTCATAGGGTCTTTCTGTCCAGGTGCAGGTAGTCCACATCTTCACAGAGTATGTTCAAGTCACGTCACCTCGATCTCATGTCTCATAACTGAACCGACTCCTTGCGTGACGAGCCGACCAAGCTTCATAGAAATCTTCTTCTATTTGGTTGTTGAGTTGATTAGCTTCGTCTGGGGCTCAGCTCTAGTCTCCGACAGACTCCAAGACAACACGTCGTGATTCACGACCACCTCAAAAAGTCGTTGATGTCTTGTCGGGAATATTGTGGGGGAAGTCGCATATAAATAGAATCTATTGACTCTGTCTTCAGGTACGCGAACATCCTTTTTCTCTCTAGAGCAACTCGGATTCTTCCTGACTTTGGCATCGGAGTGTTCTCTGTTTTGCAGGTCACCTGTCCAGTCGACTCCAGCTCGTCCGCTTGGTCAGCTTGACTTCCGAGCAGAGGTTCGGGCCTTGGTCAAATTTGTAATCAATTATCTACCTTGAGATCTCAAGTTCGAATCCTATACTGGTCATAGAGTTGATCAACTCAGACAACGAGCTTTGATTATAGAAATACACTAACATAAGTCACACAACATCGATTTTGAAAAAAAATATGGTTGTTTATTCTAACAGAAAAACGAAAATGGTACGTTTTTTTTCTTCATCGTTTTCCCAGTCCCCCATGCGCCATGGTGGCAGAAAAGCCCACGAGGCGCAGGATGACTGTCTTTAATCCTTTTTTTTCCCGATGATAAATCTTCTGATTTCAGTTTTATAATAAAACTTATTAACATTCACTAAAAATCGGGTTCTTTTATAATTTAACCTTAATCTTTGAAAAATTATTAAAACATAAGTATAGAGAATTTATTTAATAAGTATAGAGAATTTATTTTCTTAATCAGTTCCAGCCATTATTGACACAATATTTGGATAAGACCTTGAGTAGTATTATTTAATGAGCAGAAAGTTTAAAATAGTTGCCTAGTAATAACATTATATTTGCTATATTCTATTATTTGAATAATATCAATGATATAATAGTTGAGTTAAGAGTGGAGGATATAATGTAACGTGGTGACGATTTCAACCTTTAAACTACCCAATTTCATATCTAAAGTTTCAACCCCTTATCGTCCAAAAGAAAGTTCGTCCAGTTCGAAAAAGGGCAAAGAAAAAAAAAACTCAAACAAAGGATCATTTAATAAATTATGAGACATTGGCAAGAATATTTAAAACCTGTTTAAAAATCTTAAGACACTGAAATGGGCATCAGCCAATAGGGTACCACGACAGGCTTTTGTCACATAATAACATTATCATCTCAGCTACTTTTTTTGTGTTCAACTTAGAATGTTTGTCTGAAACCACACTATTCACTAACTTTAAGTGGTTTCCTCAATAGTGCTTCTTATTCATTTAGAGTCTTGATGTGCCTTTCTTTCTTCATGTTTACATTTTTCAAATCAAAATAAATCGATACTTATTTTTGTCCTGGCTCAAATTTATCGTAATAATGGATGAAGTAGGAATTTGAACCTCTAACTTCTCATAATATTACTTTATGCCTTAATCAGTTGAATTATAATCAAATTAGCATGTCAGCGTATTGTTTAAGAAAGAAGACATACAAACAACAATTCAACTCAATTTAACTGTTGCTATAATGTTGACCGTAAATGTTTCTAATTCCTTGTCGGTAAATAATCATTTTCTTTCTTTTTTTTTTGGATGTAGAAAATTGTACACATCATATGATTGAAAGTTAATGATTCTATCCAAAATTCAATTAAGAGGTTGTCACAGAAAAGCTCGTGTGAGATTGAAAATTCGTTAGAGCATAATAATTATGAACCAATTAACCATATATATTGGTGCACTTACCTATGTTAACTTAAATAGTGGATATTTTTCAAAAAAAATTTGTTGGTAAAGTAGAGTCCAACTAATATGAATATGTTGTACAATCTTTTTTAAATGAAAAATAAAATTAGAGGGAAAGAAAAGCAATAAAGGAAAAACATTTTTCTACCCTTTTTTTAAATAAAAAAAAATATATAGATGGAGAGGGGGGAGCCCCCTCTCATCTTTATATGTATGATTATGGAGGGATTCTTTCCTTGTAGAAAGAAAGAAAAACTCTCTTCTTTTAGAAGGATCTTGAGTGAAACCATGATACCTTGCATCTCTATTGGCTTTAATTAATTAATTAATTAATGGGAAACATATATAATTTGGTACATATTAACAAAATATAAAACCATTTCACCTAAATTTTAGCATTCCTCTAATTAAGGAAATAACAACTAATTGATATTTTATATTATTTTTAGAATCTTACTTTGCGTTTTAATAATGATTAGTTTTGTTGTTGTTGTAATGAGAGGGTAAAAAATTCGTTCTCTATAATTGTTTAGATCTTATTTTATTTTGCGTATCTTTTATTGTGTTCGGATGATGGTTAAGATTCATGCACTTTTATGAATTATGATCTCAAATTTAGGTTCGAGTGAGACGTTATATCTTATTTTATTTTGCAAATCTTATATTATTTGTAAATGATTGTAAGAGGTTCATGCACTAATTTTTAATGATGGTCAGAAATTAGTGTTTAAGAGAGTCAATATCTTATTTTACTTTGCGAGATTCTTGCTCGACAGAAAAGAATATGACAAAATATAGGTGTATATTCCCCAAGAAAGAGAGATGCCACCCAACATAAATAAATAAATAAATAAATATATATATATATACACACATATGTGAAACAATATATTAAATGCTTGAATTGACCCTATCTTAAATTATAATTTACTAATTAAGATTTATAGAGATTTTGTTAATTAATTTTATTTTAGGTAACGGCTTACTTAAATGGATCAACTTAGTTAACTTAACCATTTTTCTTTTTAGTCATGTGAAGTAGGAATTTGAACTCACAACTTTTTGATTTGATTGAAGATAGGTACCTTAACCAGTTGAGTGAGGCTTGATTTGGTTTTAATTAACACATCCATTAAAAACAAACCAAATATGAATTACAACCTAACTAACCATTAAAAACAAGAAATAATTAAATTTATTTTAGCCTAATGACTCAAGTAACATATTGCATGGAGTTTAATAGTGGATTGGTACTATAAATGCAAAAAGAAAGTTGGTCCAATGGACGACAGAGACTCTACTCCACAAATCTACTAGTTAGTGTAAGACTTATTAAAGATGACGCAGTGGTAGGGACGTTAAACCTTGTAGTATGATCACCTACTATGAAATCTTGTATCCGAGCCCTACATATACCTAAATTATTAATATATATTGAGAATAGATAATGTTGTCGGAATATCTAAACTTAAAATAGACTTAAAGCGTTAAGCTATCCTAGGGCTGGATTTGTGAAAATATAAAACATGACATTATAAAGTAGGCCTATGTTTAGGTACATGGTTTTGCTTTTATCCCAAGTTTTTACCAATTATATATACTATACGAATTCAAATATATATAATTATCTCTTAGGATACTCTACTTTTACAAATTAATACATGCTTGCTACATAATTATTATTATTATTTTTTTTGGTTTCTATAATCCATTCCTTTAACCAACAAAGAAATACTCAATTTGGTGTGCTTTGGATTTTTATTTCATTAGTTTTCAGTTCCGTTGTCTGTTCAATAATTTTTAGTCCAACTATGGGTTTAGTTTATTTTTCATAAAACTCAGATTTCTGACTTCAATTTTAGCTATGAAAAAGGAAATTAAACCGAGCCAATAAAAAAAAAAAATATATATATATATATATATATACATTCCTAATTCGTTCTTCTATACCATCGATCGAGATAGATAAAAAATTATTAAAATCGTGAACCAAACATATGAACATGACATATTATTAGGGTTGCAACTTTTTTGGACCACCACCAATGAAGAAATGTGTGCGCATGACAGGCGCAGCTAAATCCACAGTGCCGACTCGATGAATCCACACCGCTGTTTCTGCTGCAGAATGTGCAAAATATGTTTCATAACTTTTTCCAATTTTATTTTTGGAATATTAACCCCACAAAGCACTTTTTTCTTTTTTCGAAAGAAAAGAAAAAGAAAAAAAGTAGTTATGAATTCATGCAATCAAGTAATTGATATTGGGGAA